TTAATATATAGAAATATATATATTCAAACCAAGTAAATCCCAGGGTGGCATATGTCATATTCTTATGCCTTCAGAACTAGAAACATTTGGAAATAAAAGCTAAAAGGCTATAGGTAAAAACAGCAAATCAAACTGTTTAATATTCATTGCTCAAGGCCTTGTGTTCTGTTGTACCCCACAGGCTCATGTGTTGAAGGTTTGCTTCTCAGCTAGTGATGCTATTGGAAGGTGGTGAAAACATTAAGAGCCAGGGCCTAGTTGGAGAAAACAAGTCATAGGGTGTTGGTGGTCTCTCTAGAGGGAGACCTGGAACCCCGGAAAGCACTGACTTTTAAAGAAAGAAAAGGAGACAGCCTGGGGGATGAACAGCAGTTTAATTCCTCTGGCACTATGTGACAATCACAAAGGAAAGAAGCAAGGCTTTTATACATGTAGGAAAGCAGCTTAGTTATTCTGGCTATCATCTTTCTGATTTTAACCTCTGGTGACAAATGACTTTAAGTGACTCATAAAAGCTACAGGCGAATTCACAAGTCCCCTGTTTCCGTTCACCAATCCCGTACATCAGAGAGCACACCGCAGCCCTCTTATCAGATAGTATCAAAAGAGCAGGAGGACTTTAGCCAAAATCAAGCCCACCGGCCCACCACAAACACCACAGATGTGCATAGTGAGTCCTATCTCTCTTACCACCTGTAGAGTCATTGGGTTGCGGTCCTCTGATCCCAGAAAATGGTAAATAAGAAAACTAGGAAAACCTGTTTTTCTCCTATGAGACTTTCACAATGTCTCTTAAAGTTTTCTGGAATTCTTTTAACAAACAGACTTGTGGAATTTCCCAGAAATGACTTAATTTTCTTAGTTAACAAACTTCTTGTGATCTATTCTTACAACTAGGTAGCTGAATTCTACCATTTCCTACAATTGGGGAAGAACCTTGAAGGATATATTGAGGCCTCAGCCTTTTTCTCTCTCTTTCTGCTTCCTGGCCCCCATGATGTGAGCAGCTTTCTCCACCACATACTCCTAGCATGATGTTCTGCCTCACCATGGACCTAACTTTAACTGACATGATGGCTATTTTTATCATAATGAACTGAAAGATCACAACTATAATCACGCTTGTCAGGCTCTCAGAGACCTATGGCATTGACTAGATGGTAACAGTGTTCCTAGAAAAGAACATGTGGGATTCCCACTAACTCTTACTTGCTCTACGTAAATGGAAGAGTTCTAGGTGTAATGAACAGAGGTCTAGTTTAAATCAACAATGGCTTGGCCTTTCCAACAATTTCAAGACTTGAATCTGTATACACTAAGAATCTTTGAATGGCTATGTCCTTGAGTAAGGACAAAGAATTTGTCACATGTCAAAAATGTATACTATTTATCTTTCTCCCAGTCTTTTCCCCAGCTCATGTATCAGAATTACTATGCATTAGGAAATGGAAAATAATCAAAATTTTGGGGATTCTAGCTAGAATCTACATTAATTTTTAGACATGTACAATATCACCATGGTCTACTAGTCATAGTTGGGGATTATAGAGTCCAGGTTATCAATGAAACTTTAGCCCAAGGCCATCTCACAGTGGGATCACTGGGTCACCAAGTCCTTCTGGAGGACATTTCTCTAGTCAGGAATGCATAATTGGAACAGGTATTCACCAACTGACAGTAACCGTATATTGGACTGGAGGTAAAGGAAGGCAAAAAGAAGACAAGCCAATAAAATAAAAGTTACAAATAATAGAGAAAAGTAATAAAACACAGAAGATAAACATTGGAAAGAAAATAAAACTATTTGGTATTGGGTGTGTGCAAGAAGAAAATGACTAAGACAGTTATGGAGACTAGAAATCCACAATCAAAGAGTTAGCAGGGTTGGTTCCTTCCAGAGGCTCTTGGGAGAAACAATTACATCGCACTCTCTTAGCTTGTGCTGGCTGCTGGCAACCCAGTGTTCCTTGGCTTGTAGCTACATGACACCAAGCTCTGCCTCCATCTTTACCTCACCTTCTCCTCCATGTATTGTGTTTTCTCCTCTTCTGTGCCTCCCTTTGTCTTTCTTTAAAGACACCTGTCAGGGTGTCTCAAAATCCTTAAGTTAATTATATCTCCAAAGTCCCTT